TTAAGCCCGGCAAAGCACCCGGGGCAGATAACATTCGCCTTGCCGACTTACGGCGCAATCTTGATGCACTAAGTAACATCCTGCTTTACGTATTGAACGGAATTATAAACAGTGGAGTAATCCCTATTGGTTTGAAAAGTGCGATTGTTAGACCCATTTACAAAGGAGGTAAGCGTGACAGTGTTGAAAGCTACAGACCGATATCTATTTTGCCGTGTTTAGCCCTAGTATTCGAAAAGCATGTACTGAAAACAATGACCATGTTTCTTGAAAAGTTTGATATGTTATCACCGTCCCAGCACGGCTTTATCTCTGGGCGTAGTACCGACTCGGTTCTTGAGGAATTCGTTGACACTTTAAATGGAACTTTTGACAACAACAAACATGCCTGCGCACTCTTTCTAGACGTTTCAAAGGCATTTGATTCTATTAGTCATAAAGTACTTAAGAAAAAAAATTTACGATTACGCTTTCCGGGGGCCCTTTTTTTTTGTATTCTTGAAGATTTCTAAGCGAATCGGACGCAGCACGTTTCAGTTGGCAAACCCAGCAGTGTCAGCATAAATTTGAAAGCTGGAGTGCCTCAAGGGTCTGTTTTATCGCCACTCTTGTTTAATCTTTACGTAAATGACTTAGCCAAAGCTGTTTCCGGTTGCGATATTTATAATTATGCCGATGACACTTTGTTAGTTTCTCGACATATCAATTTATGCAGCGCGATTTCTTTACTGCAAACCAATGCTACCCGGGTAATAGACTAGTTTGAGGCAAATTGTATTAAAATTAATAAAACAAAACTAATGTGTTTCAGGAGTCCCCTGAAACGCAAATGACCAGACATTCTCTTTGTGTTGCACTCATCGAAATGTACGCGCTGCTTATGTGCACCTATTCGATTTGTTCCTTCCAACAAGTATTTAGGAATCTTCTTCGACAGTGATCTGTCGTGGAATTCTCATCTAAGCTATGCTGCCAAGCGACTGCGAAGTGTATCATGTATGTTGTATTCTACAAAAAACCTTTTTTCCATTTTCTGTTCGAAAGATGATAGTCAATGCTTTAGCCTACGGGTTGCTACGGTACGGTATTACTATTTATGCAAACTGTTCGGTGCTGTGGCAAAATAAACTAAAGAGTATTTTGAGGGGTGTAGCGTACACGTCTATTTCTATGCCGAGTAATGAATTATTTGCATCCCTGTGCCTGCCGCGTTTCCTAGCTCTATTTAAAGGATGTGTAATTAGTAAGCAAGTTCTTTTAAAACGCCTCGTGTAGTGGAACGTGTCTTGAGAGACGGTGAACGTTTCATAATCCCACGTGTTTATACAAAATATGAAAAACGACTGCGCTCATTTTATGTGCCCGAACTCTTTAACGGCTTACCGGACACGTTTTTTTGGTATAACCACAAAGCGCCAATTAAAAAAAAAAAACACTTTAGGATCAATATGCTAAAGTTGTACTTACGTTCTCGTTTTCCAGTTTACATGCAGTGTTAGTCCCCTTCGGCTTTATATCATTAATTTGACACTAATCTTGAATAATCTGCAGATAGTCCCCGATGCTGACTTTAAGCTTGGTTTCCCTTTTGGCCTTTGCCTCCAATATGAAAGAGCAATAATCGTAACACGTGCCTGCCTCTAGTTATTGACAGGGTTTCTGTCTGCGGTCTGGTGGTTATTTGGGTTATTGGTTCAGTTGTGTATGTGCTTTATATTTAAATGAGTATTTTGCGGGAGTTTGTATCTGTATCCTGACTGCTGTGTGTGTGTTTTTTTTTCTTCTTTATTTTACATTGTTGTTTTGCGTGATATCCTTCAATGACTGGTTTGATGTTTTATTACACCGCTGCCGGGTTCAGTCCCACAAGCCGCTATTGGCTTTTGACGGACCCGCATATGTATGTATTGTGTTTATATTTGTGCAGTAAAGATTATTATAATTATTATTATTAGTTATAATATTAATAATAATAATAATTTCACACAAATTGGAATTCAATTGTACTAGATACGGGCATATCAAAGCCTGCAGAGGACTTGTATGATGACGCCCATAAAAAAATTCAAAAGACAGTTATCATGATTCCACAATGCAAAAGATAGAACTATAAAACACACAAAAAAATAATAATAATATCGCGTGTAACCACAAGTGTGTGCACACAAAAGTACGTACGCACAAAAAGTGTGTACACACTTTTGCGTTAAAAAAGTTGGTATGTCTGTAGGTGTATACAGCCTAGAACTGCCTCAACGGGCGGCTTGTCTCCAGCTGTAGACGAGAAATTTAGCCAGTGCATCACAAACCGCTAGCTTGGGGTCTTTAACGTGCACCACGCAGTAGTGATACATAACCACACACCGGTACGATGCTCATCCAGATCGAAACGGGCAAGGGTGGGGATTGAACCCATGATCCCTGGGGTTCTGCAGAGCGAGCTTTCGCTCCACGTGCTCCGAGCTGGTGTGCGCTAGCCCATTTTTTTTCTTTATTATGTGCGCTAGCCCACTCGGCTACCGATCTCTCTCACTTTTGCATAATATAGCATGCGCACCGGTAGCTTTGTCTGCAGAATTCCAGGGATAGTTTTCGGTCGCCGTAAGATATATACCGGGATGGCGGGTGTGCTCGCATCTTTCGCTGCCTTGTCAGCTTACAGGTGAACGAAGTGCAACTACATTCTTTCTCTTAAATACAATATTTTATTTGAACAAGGACTTCCATAATGCGGGCGTATGAGAAATGAAAAGTGGTGTTGCAGAACATTTTTGAAAACATCAAAATGTTTTCTTGATAACTGTACGAGAAAAGTATTGTGAAAGTAATCTGTAACATAACGAGCAAAGTAATCCCTTACTCGTCAACGAAAGTAATTTGTAACGGTAATCGTTAGAAATTACTTGTAACGATTACCATTAATTTGGTAATCGTTGAGGCTCGGTAATTTGTAATTGTAATCCATTACATTTTTTAAGTTACGGGCACAAATCTGCGTTCAGCTACGTGTCGTCGTCTATCTTGACGACGAACCGAGCGTGGCGGCAGAATGTGGACGCCCGCCGCAACATCATGATGAACTTGAGAGTCACGTTACTGTAGGCATCGATGAAGGACCCCTAGATGATGTCCGAGTCTACTGAGGACTCGCTCCGGGTGGTGGACCGAAGTCTTGAGCCGTTGGTGGCACCCAGGAGAAACCCTGGTGGCCGGATGTCCTTGCCCGTGCAGGAGGAACTCTTGACGTCACTAGCGCGATATGCATGGCTCTTCTCACCGGCCGACTTTGAAGTGAGAGCTGGAAAGTTCGGGGTCACGTCATTTTGTTTCCGTACCCCTTTAAAAGACTGAGCTCAAGAATGAACCAAATTGGCTTTCTCACAATTCTCCTTTTTAGAAAATCGCTGGTTCAAGATGTGTGGGCAGAAAACGCCTGTGCTCATCACGGACGGTGGCACGAACCTCTGGCTTGAACGCCTCTCACTGTAGCTTGTGAATCTATAGAACCTGAACATGCGTTTTTACATCAAAAACGCTGGTACTATGATTTCAGAAAAGGTGGATTGCCTTGTGCCAGTTACGTAGCGCTGTTCAAGAAGCTTAGTAGGGGAATGGAGAAGATAATTAGAGGTTGAACGAGCAAGCTGAAAACAGATGTACTCAAAATATTATCGAGGGCGTGCGAATACCGGCTCGAATTGAATAAAGGCTCGTTCACACACTCGGAACCGAGTAGGACCGGCTGAGACGAGACCGTTTTTTAAGCCTCTTGCGACGGATTAGGACCTGGGGGGCTATGTTGCGCTTTTTGCACTCCCAGGAGACTAGGGAGAGGGAAGTGACGTCAACGACACAGCAAACGCAGATTGGGTGTTGATTTCGTTTTCTTCTGTCAACATCCAATCTGCATTTGCCTTGTCGTTGATGTCACTTCCCTCTCCCTAGTCTCCTGGGAGTGCAAAAAGCGCAACATAGCCCTCCTGCCCCGCAGCAGCGCATCTGGTCCCGCGCCATCGTAAGAGGCATAAAAACCGGTCTTGTCTCACTCGGTCGTACTCGGTTGCAAGTGCGTCCTTCACAACCTTCTCAGTAGAAAGGAAAGCCACGACAAGTGCTTTTCTTAGCAGTGTTAAAACTAGGGATGACACTGCGCTATTCAAATCGAGCTATTATTCGCACACACCTAACTATCGATCACCAAAACTACAATTTATAGAAGCGCGCTCACATGCCCCTGTTTCCAGAAAACCGCACTGACCGCACAGTCCCTGACAGACTTCTTCAAGCATGCCTAAGTGAGTGAGAAGATGTTTTCTAACCCTTCAAATAAAGAAAAAAAAAACTGGAGTCAATTTGAATAATACCCATGTCAGACGGGAAAGTAAATGTCATTTTGATCGAATGTCATTCACCGCTCGGCGAATCAGCTCGTGATCCTGGTTCTGCACGTGGCGCATGCACGCGCAGCGTGGCGTATGAAACACGCGGATTTGCCGAGCTGTAATGTCATTTTGCCTAAATGTCATTTAACGTGCCCGTCTGACAGGGGTATAAAAATACTTCGTCAACGTCCATGGCTTTATCTAATAGAAAAAGACGACGCAGTTTACACTTTTTCACGCCGGCACAGATGCAGCATACGGCCAGAGCCATATAGTAGGGTTCGCCGTGACGGCACCACATTGTAAATCAATGAGATCAAAAAAAAAAAAAAAAAACAAGAGATAACTATTAAGAAAGTCTGGGTCATAGTCTTAGACAAGGGTATTTCATTTTCAATCCGGGTTTCACGTGACTTGGCTTTCTTTCGCGCGCATTCTGGCAACGTCCAATCATCTGCAACTTCTGATGAATTTTTGTTCGAACTGCGATAGTGCTGCCAAGCTGACTACTCTTTCGTTTTGTGACTTCGCAACGCTTCACCGGCTTGACCATCTCACGTGCTTTCAAACACGATCGCTCTTGGTCTGCAGTGTTCGCCCATTCTCTTTCAGCAGGTCGCCACGTCAGTGGAGCATTCAAAGATGCCACTACAAAAGGTAACTTTTGTTGGTATAAAAACACGGGGTTCTTTCAATAGCGACCTGCATTTTTGTTCCTCATTTACGGCATTTCTAGGTGACCCAAAGGAAAGGTCGGGCGGTTTTGAACACGAAAAAGGCAGTTTTCAACAAGAGTCACGGCAGTTCTTATCTCTCGCAGTCATTTATTCTGAGTAAGTACCTATTTTGTCGAATTCTTGAAGAATGGCGTGTTGATTAACGTTACATGGAAAGCGTCTCGCCAAATGCGCGTTTCTTGAGCAGTAACATCAGCTCAGGATGCTTTTTTGCTTAGTATCTGTCGAAATAGGACCCCCTTTCCAAATAGAACATGAACACTTTATTTTATATTATGGGTCGAGACGTCTGTAGGGGGTATTCCCTGGACGCCATATTCGAGGGCGAAATGTAGACCACATGCTCAGAACGAGGCTGCTAAGACCGGCAGTCTTGATGGTGCGGGATGCACGTAGCAAAAAAACTGGGGGAGCCCGCCGTCAGCACGCGCTCAGCAGCCGAGCTCACAGCTATGGTCGCAAGCTAATACTCGCCATATTGTTGGGCGTTGTTCACAGTGCATGCTCAGAACTAGCTCCTATTTATCGCCTTTCAAGAGCAACGATCATGATTTTGTGGAATAGACGTTCAACATGCATCCTGGTGCTTTCCTCGCAGGCAGCGAAGTCAAAGCTGTGGGTATACCCCTGCGCGCGTAGACCTTGAGCATCGATCAACGCTGTGATTGCGCGGTGTTCGCTTTTTTTTTTTGTTATGCCAGAAAAAGTTGTTCTCGAGCATCGTTCTGAGCATGCGCTGCGAACAACTCCCAACAAAATGACGTCGCGCGCGTTCCACCTACCGATGGACAGCAGCGGTTCATCGTTAGGTTTGAGGCAGTGTGCGCGTGTGACCTAGCGCTTTAGTATCTGTGCCCTTGTTTGTATGTCTTCTATTCGCGCTATTATTTTTGGTGAATCGAAGTACTAGAAAGTGCTTTTCGCGCATCGTAAGATTCGTAACTGCAATGCCACTTTTTTTTTCTTTCTTCTGTGCCGACTGGCTTGACAGTGGATGTTTGCAAATTAAAATTTTGCGTAGCAGCAGTATAAACTGGAAGAGAGCGTGCACTTTACACAAAATGCGCTGCCCTAGCTTACGTGTTGGTTGCCGTTATCTATGAAAGCGTGGACACACCGTCGTGACTAAAGGCCCATACGCACATTCGCGTTTGAGCGCGGTGCGTTCCGTAGCGGCAAGCGGACGCGTTGCATTGCGAAGACCGCTTGCGCTAAACTTGTGCGCACAGGTGCGTTGACACGCAGTCAACCGCAGTCAAGGGCCAGTAAAAACGCGCTATCGTCGCTAGTGGCTCACCAATAGTAAGCGAAATCCAAGGCAACATGCCGGCGCACGGCGACACCGTCGAAGTGTCGCCGTCTTCCCCGACGTTTTGTCAAGCTTGAACCATCGCAGCCTTGGAAAATACAGTCCCCATGCGCCGCTCCCCAAAACGAAAAAGCAAGCACTGCGACCGGCGAACTGGATACGTCTCGTCGAGTCGGCAGGGTGGGGCGAGCGAACATGTCACCCCCTCTCCTCTTTCGGCACCTGATTGGTCGAACGCACCCGAACGCAGCCCAACGCTTCGGAGAGTTGAGCGAGTCTCTACTCGCTTGCGTCGCGCTACCGAGCGTTGCGGGAAGGCGCGCGTCGCTCCGCAAGCGACCGCGCCTGGCCGCAAGGACTCCGCAACGCACTCAAACGCGTTCAAACGCGAATGTGCTTATGGACCTTTACGCAAGGTTGCGAACTCATCGCCCCATGTGGCAGTTTCTTTACTCAAGAAACTTTTTTTTTTTTTACTAACTCACATTTCGTCGGCTGTACTACATGCAGGGGCCACCTTCACTTCGTAAAAAGTGTTGAAACTTCTTTAAAGGGGTCATAAAGAGATATCGGGTTGGAATGTTCATGACTTTGCAGAGGCGTTCTGTTCCTAGTCTGGCCCGACTAAACTTATTACAGACCGCCACTGATCCAGAAGCTTCTTTGTCGCGGTGAAATTGTGATGATGAAAAGGGACTATTTCCCTCAGTAATTGTTAGATCGACACCACCCGCCTGACGACAGTCGAGCGCCAGCTCATAGATTGAACACGAGAACGGCGTGAGCACTCGACTTCAGCTCGTAACGATCAATGCCCCGGTGGGCACTCGGGTAGGGGCTCGTGTTCAACCGCTGCGGTGATAAAAATAGCCGAACTCTAATAACAATGCCTGGAGCTCAGCACGCGTTTTTTGCCAACCCCAGCGCGTGGGCATGATTAATGCCCCTCTTCCCGAGAATTCCTTTTGTGTGTCCCAGAAGTCGCTATTGCCGCTCTTTACGATTATAGAAGATTAACCAGTCAGTCAAAATTTGTACAAAAGCAGCCGCTTCGGTGGCTGGAACGACTAGGCCATCCTCTCGACGTCAGCCTCGCCTTAGCTTTGCTCGTCCCGAGACAAACTACGCGTCACTATTGCATTGGATGTCACGTGCTCTCCACTGGCTATTCTCCGAGCGCTTGCTATAGTGGGCCGTTTATAACGAAAAATACAGCCACCAGGCTCAAAATACAAACGTGCCTTTGTCATTTACGGATTTGTGGATCATATTCAACCTATTTTTGAACACGACGGGTTTATTTCAAATTTCGTTGAGGTATCCCTTTAAGAGGGCCAAGTCAGCGAAGCCCAAATCGTCCAAGCCCAAAAAATCCAAAGGCAGAAAAGGCCGCCGCACCCAAGAGCCCCCAAAAAGCCCAAGACGGCGAAAAAGGTTTCTGCTAAGAAGACTGCTGCAAATAAGGCTTCTTCCAAGAAGTAGATGTTCTCTCGAATATCCACTACAGAAAAAAAGTGCTTGTTTGTGTTTTTGTTTGTTGTGTGTTTGTTCTTTCTTGTTGTTGCTGACGTTACCAATGCGCTCGTTAAGTATTTATGCTTGTTCTGGTTTTTTTATCCTGCAACAGACTATAGACCGACACGCTGTTTACAAACAAACCCGCGTTTGCCCACACCAGGTGTGGGCACTGCGCATGCACAGAAACCGAATTCGAGTGAACTGAAGCGTCTGCGCATGCGCAGTGCCGTCGACAGCGCCACCGCTGCTGCGTGACGTCAGAGACGCGTGTTGGTCTATAAATGCATACATCCTTCGTTTTTTTTTTTGCTTGTCAAAAAAATTTTTTTTTGTGTGTGTGTGGTTTTTATGTTTTTTTGTGTGTGTGTTTTTTTACGTCTCCCCAGCCAAGCTGAAGAAGCGGTTGCGAACTGTGATCGAGCAGAACAAGGTGCTGGCCTTTGTCCTCGCTGAAGCCAAAAACCAGAATAGCAGGCTCAAGACTGCAGCAGTACGCCAAGGAAAGATCGAGCGTCTCTTACTTCCACAGGTACTCAGTTTATTTTCACTCTGCGTTCTTTGAAAACACACCATTCTGATGTCCACAAAGTGTAATGAAACCGTGCATACTGTTTTATTTTTTCTCGAGCCCCTAGTTATGTTGTGCCTTTCACGGCGTCAGTGAGAAATGAGAGCGAATCTTCGACACACTTGTTTCATGGCGATGTGATAAGGCGAGGGATGTTTTAACCTAAGCAGTGTGATCGTTAACATTGAGCTTTAACTTTGATTAAATGCACACCGTTACGATGCCAGTGTGTTGCATCCATTAGGATGACGTATAATCGTATCATTTACGATAGGGTACAAATGTTGGCGTCAGGGACAGAAGATACAAACTTGGGACAATGTATCTGGCATATGCGTTGTTTGCCGAGAAATGTTATATCGGGCGTACGTTCGGTATTTCACCCGAGAATAATTGTGCTTTTAATCTGGCTTAAAAAAATAAAAGACGTGTACAAATCTCTGTAATGCGAAATAAAAGCGCAGCTCAAGCGAAGGAAGAGGGGGGGGGGGGGGGGGGGGGGGGTACACGGAGGGGAGGATATGCCGCTCCGTACCCTCCCCTCTTGCTTCTTAATCCGCTAAAGTTAGCGGGTAATATTTCTCTGCAAAATATAAAGCGGGAAAATTTTCCCGCTATGTTTAGCGGGAAAATTTCTTTGCTAAATTTAGCGGGAAAATTACCCCTGCTAAATTTAGCAACAAATTTCCCGGCTAAATTTAGCGGGTTAAGTTTCTCCGCTAACTTTAGCGGGGAAATTGACGTCACGTGTCCTCAACATCAATTCAGACTCTCCGCTAAATTTAGCGGGGAAAATGACGTCACATGTTTTTGTGTCACGTTACCCATAAACACATTCAGTTTCTCCGTTAGATTCACCGGGAAAATTGACGTCACGTTACCTCAACAATTATATTTTCCGCTAAATTTAGCGGGGCGGTTACGCCGACGGCGACGCCGCGAAACGCGGAAACGGGCGCCTAAGAGCTGCGCTCTCAAAAATAAAAGACGTTTTCAAATCTCCCTAATGCGAAATTAGAGCGCAGCTCTTGAGGAGGAGGAGGGGAGGGTACGGAGGGGAGAGTATGCCCCTCCTACTTCTCCGTACCCTCCTGTCCTCCATTCTCTCCTCTCCCTCTTCCTCCAATTCAGTCTCCCTGCTAAATTTAGCGGGGAAAATGACGTCGTGTAACCTCAATACCAGTTCGATTCCCCGCTAACTTTAGCGGGGAATTAAATTGGTGTGGACGTCACGTGACGTCAATTTTCCCGCTAAATCTAGCGGAGAAACAAATTTTTCCGTTAAATTTAGCGGGGAATTGAAGTAGTGTGAGGTCACGTGACGTCAATTTTGCCGCTAAATTTAGCGCAGTTACGACGACGCCGCAAAACACGGAAACGGGTGCCTAAAAGCTGCGCTCCTAAAAAAAAATATATGGTGTGTGTGCGTGTGTGCGTGCGTGCGTGCGTGTGTGCGTGTGTGCGTACGTGTGTGCGCGTGCGCGTGCGCGAGTGCGTGCGTGTGTGTGTGTGTGTGTGTGTGTGTGTGTGTGTGTGTGTGTGTGTGTGTGTGTGTGTGTGTGTGTTTGTGTGTTCCCCGCTGTTGCTTCTTTGCCGTCATGTGGGTGAGCGCAGTGTCTGTGGGGCCGTGTAACATCTCTGCTCCTTAGAGAATGGGAAATCGTAAAATCGTAAAAAATTAAATAAATTCGTTTTGAGCTTTTCTATGTTAGGTGAACTGGCCCTTTATATTTCAATTCACATTAAGGTTGACGACTTATTGACTTCTACTTCAAATAATCACTGGGCGATGGGGCGTTTTCCGATTTTAACCGATTCTTTGGTTTATGGGTGCCTTTGGGTTGTAACCATCAATCCTGCAGCCACCAGTTGTCGAGCGTCGTTGTGCCTGTGCCTGTTTCAGCTGAAAGTATGGATGGAGGAGAGCTTGAGTCACATGCAAGAGATCACCCGAGTCCACGGGCGAGCGATTCTGTCTATCCATAACATCCTCATGTACGGCCATGACGTCAGCCTGGCCCCTGATTGCGGAGATGTCTTCCAGGAGGCGCCGCCACCGAGGTAAGTTCAGGGTAAGATGCGAAATAAGCGGCCTGAGAAACGGTGCTTGAATCTGTATAGGAAACATATGGCAGCGGGTGCTTTACTTTCTAAAAAGAAATGATGCAGAAGGCAGAGTTCCGGGCCCCTTTCTGCTGATCTAGTTTTGCGAACGGTAGATACTCTTAGGCGCAAACGAAAAGAATACAAACTGTCAAGTAGATGAATGGATAGATCAACAGTAGAGATATATCCATTCATTGCACCGCATTGGCTCAATTTTGCCATTGCAGGGCAAGGAAAAGATTCAAGATGATCGTTTGAAAAATGACGAACGATGCCATTTTGTTATCTTCCTTCGCAATAATAAAATCAACACAAAGGTCGTAGCCGCTAGTAGGAAGCAATAAAAAGTTTCTTAAAGGTCGTGGCGGCAACGTTTCGCTAAGAGATTTGCGAAACGTCGGCCGCCACTCTCAGGCCATCAGCAGACTTTCGTACCGGGCGGCATATTGCACAACCTAGTTTCGACCTCTGTCTCGGTTGCACCAGATGAGCCCCTTCTGGCTTTTCTGAACATTCTAAACAGTCATTGGCTTTGTGGCCTTTTTGAGCCTTTGGCCCCTTTGAAGAACTGCGCAACTCTCACGGTATAAACGGTGCACAACACCGAATCCGAGGTGCTTTATTGTAAGCTGTATTGCGATTATCTCGATATCAAGAACATCTTACTCTCAGTACTGATTTAGACAGCATGCGCTGCATCACAGGGAATGAAATGTCGTTCAACAAACAGAACATATACCCCCAGGCAAAGAGTTAATACTCCACATCGAATGTGACCTTTTCTTGTTTCAGGGCTTTACCTCAACTCGTGAAAGTTGCAGAGCCTGAGCCATTGTTTTCAACGAGAGGCACATGAACGAGACATTGAATAGACCTAGTGCTTAAAGGTGCCCTCAGGAGGTTTTTGAGATCGCCTAAATATCGCGATAGTTCTTTCTGCGGGCTCTGAGCTAAGCATCCTAGAAATCCATAAATCATAACGATGCTTGGCCGATTTCCATATTAAACAAACAATCAAAGATCGAAATTATCTCCGGCGTTGGGAGGAACGACGTGCCGGCAGCCAGGACGGCATGTGACCAATGAAAACGCAACATTTCGTTGAGATTGCAAACACTGTTCTTACAAAATATGTAAACTTTTGTAGATAATAAAAGCAAAGAGTGGTCGAAAAATGTTAATTTTTCGCGGAGAGGGAACATAATACAGCAATAATAGTCATAAAAATAGGAAACTATATTTATTTTTTTTTGTCTTTCGCGGGAGTGCAGTCCGGTCGTCAGCGCGCGAGAGCGCGACCGCTGGGTTCATTCCATTTAGCGATCTCTGGGCGGCACCATTTTGTTCGACAGCAGCGCCCTCTCCATACATCCGGGAAATTCAGCGGGTTCGGCGGGGTAAAACGAGAGAGAGGGCACGCGCCGACTCCGCTAGCAGACGACAAACCGGGAGGTTGCCATTCTCCATCTTTGGGCTGTATCGGCGGGCTGTACGGAACATCGAACTCTCGCTCGTGGCTGCCGTTGTAAAGTGGTTCGCGTTCTTAGAATAGTTATGGCTACTCCAAAATCAGCCTATAGCTCTCTGTTGTTCTATTTCGGTAAATGATCAACTAACATATCTTCCTTCCGTTACTTAAATAGCAGTTGAGTCGGCCGGCAGTACCCCCAACTACTGCGTGTATTGCGGCAGGAGAGCACGTTTTTAGTTATTATTTCAGATTTCCACTCATGGTCGCTAAAGGCCTACACCAGTACGAACTTTGTATAGTAAAAAAATATAGAGCAACCGGATTTACTTTTCGCCGGAGAGATCGGCCAATCTGACAGTTTTTCCTCTTTTTTTTTTATTTGCACGCAGGTAACAGCGCAATTGGACCCTGTGAGTCTTTTTATCTAGCATAGTATTACACGATAACTGGCATACCAAAATATGCGCATCTGCGCTTGAAATTTCCAAAATGACGCGATTTTAAACAGTTTGTACGCCAGCCGAATGCTAGCTACAGCCCACTCGGCGGAGCAGACGAGATGCGGGTGAGAGGGGGAGGGCATTTTTTTTTCTCTTTTTACCCTCTCTGCTATGACCCTAATGGAACGGTCTATACTTGCCAGTGACAGGGAGAGCCACATAATAGGCGTATCCGGTATGGGCGACGAAAAAATAATAAAACGCTTCAACCTGTAACTAGTAAACAAATATAGGGGATACAAAACGAGAATGAGTGACGGTTACGCTTATCTCCTAAATGTCTTCAATTGGCGTAACTACGGCAAAACAATGTTTTCGCTCATACTGGAAGTGACGACAATTGAAGATGGCGGCGCGCTTGTGGAAAATGTCTATACTCAAAGCCTGGCAGTTCGACGGCGGAGCCATGTGCCCGGTCGCAGATTTGGAACGCGAGAGTCTGGTAGCACAGAACACTTCTCGGGGAACCTGGACGTCAGCGCACAGCTTTTTGCAGCGGCGAGGACCGGAAACATGGTTTTGAAACCCGACGAGAAAAGGAACGGGAGCGCGAGGAGCACGAGCGGACATTCCATCGCTCGGGAGAAGTGTGTTTCAGCGTCTCGCCGCAGCGGGGCGCCCGTCACGTGGCTCTCCTCTCATCCGTTGTCTGCCGCTCTACCTTTTCAGTTTCGGCGGCCGCTTCTCGTGGCGATCTGCCAGGCTTTGGCAGTATAGAGGAGGCTATGGTAGCGTCGTAGTCCGGGCTGTATGGGCAACGAGCCGCGCGCATTCGAGATATCACTCCTCGGTTCCACCGCTCAGAGACGCGAAGATCCTTCGCTTGCTATTTACTGACAGTGGTCCTGGTTTCGGAACATACTCCACCCATCGCCAGAGATGACGTCGGTGTTTGGCGATCTTTTATTGCTTTTTAATATGAAAATCGGCCGCGTATCGTCATGATATAGGCGTTTCTAGGATGCTAAAAACCAGCAAGGTGAGTTATCACCTTTTTAGGTGATCTCAGAAACCTGCTCAAGGCACCTTTAAGGGCCAGCATAGTTTTAAAATGAGTCAAAAAAGGAGATGAGACACTTTAAGGGCGCCGCCTCGGTGGCTCCGAGGCGAGAGCGCCAGCCTACGGATCCCCATGTGGCGGGTTCGAATCCCGGCCGAAGTGCCCGCAATCTGACGGAGGCTTATTGCAGAGAAGGCGCCGTGTAACCAACCGAGCCAACATGTCTTTTTCTAGGTCTCCTTATCCGGAAAGCTAAAAATAAACAACGTCCCCGTAAAAAAAAAAAAAAAGGCAACTTGTGGAGACAAATTACACGCGCGATGCGTGCTTTTCCTGCAGACGGAGGTCCTTGCACCCCCCTGGCAGTCGCCTCACGGCAGATCTGACTGTGGTTGAGGAAGACCACACCGGAGAGCAGGAGTCTTTCTCTCCCGGCCAACAGAACCTACCGGCACAGAACGAGGACAAGCTGCTGCTGCCCGAGATCCTGGGTGTGTAGAGATCGAGGTCATTCCACATTCCCGAACTAATCCCGAACTACTTTACTGTCGGTTGCTCAGGGCGGTGCTTGAGCAGGCTTGCACTGCGTGTGCTTCCTCGCTTGAGTTCACTCGCCCCCCCCCCACGAATGTCGCAAGGAATGGTTATTCCAAGGTCTAGAAGCACTCCAATGGCGACAGAGAGCTGAATCTAAACAGAGTTGATCTTTTTTTATTTTATTTGATGCTTAATGTATATTGGGTGTTCCATTTTAATTCGAACAGACATCAGATAGCATTGGCTGCGTCTGGATTTCAGCTGAAACGAAGTATAGAAAAATGACGAATTCCAGGCTACCGCTTAGAAATTCGACTACCTTCAAAATTGTTGCACCAAAAAAACAAAAAAACAAAAAAACAAAAAAAAAAAAACACGCACATTGTTTCAAGTATGAACTGCGAAAATGGAAACTCCTAGAACTTTAAGCAATTTGCATTCAACACCGCGTCGGAACTCATTCTGGTTCGATTAGTACTTTGATTTAGGCCCAGAAAACCCGCCGGACTTAAATCCAAAGTGCACAAGAACTTTGGCGCATTCAGACGGGGCGGAAGACTAATGAGAACGGTAGACCTGATGATGACAATGATACAAGACTCGAAGCACGATATACAAGATTACGCAAATAAATTTGAACGAAGTTACACAGCCGTGAAACGGGACTATAAATAGTAAAGTTGGTTTACGATGAGCAATAAATATTATCACGAGAGAACCCGCCTTTTAACGCACTTTTCACTAGTTTTTTTATGGTATCTTCGTTCGCGTCAGTGTTGTACGGGACGGCGTTTCAGGGAACCACGTTCCTGGAAGGCGCTCCCTTTGAGGGCACCGGAGGAACGCCGTCGTTTCATTCTGCCCAAGTGGAACTGGAACGGGAACTCGTTACATCTTTACTAAAACGAAAAAAAAACGGCGTTTCTTTTTTTTCTGTTTAGTGTTTTTTTTTATTTCTTTTAAATATTCCTAAGGGGAATTTGTATAAAATAGAACTATCTTTACGAAGAGCGCGATCTCGATAACTTTTTGTTACTTATTCTAGGATTTATTTTGTGGGGTCCTCACTCCGTAACATTGGGGTGCAGGCGAGCTGGTGGATATTGATCCTGTTTTTAATGCCCAAGACAGCGGTACAAAAAAAAAAAAAAAAAAGCTTTTAGTCGAAGGAAAATACACAGAAAGAGGGACGTCTCGAACTCGGTACTTTCTTTACTTCCGGGAATCCTCATACGCACAGAAATCTAAAGTCGAAGACGGTTCCATATGTGACCAGGCGTCTAACTACCTCAAGACGGAGCTAGCTTCGGCGACCTCCACAGCCAGGGCAGATATTGCCGTCTCCTCAACACCAGACAACTTCTCAATCGGGCAACGAACCCTTCAGTCCGAAGCACAGGACCAACTGTCTCGGAACCTGCTGGTGCCAGTCGACCACCCGCTGTCGCAGATGAACAGCTTCGAGGGATTGCAGAGCCTTTTCCTCGAGTACAACACGGCAGTGACTTGGAGTGCTTCGGTGGAAAGTTTGTTTAGCCTTACCAACGAAGTGCTGACGAAAAGAAACGGGCTCGTCTTGCGGAGAGCAACATCGAGAAGCGACTGTTGTTAAGTTCGAACAAGGAACTGTGTTAGATTGAAACATGTGAGGTTGTTGTAAAGCTTCCGTAGAATGTGCCGCGCTTTTCCTTCCCGGCTCATAGTACATTTGGCTCGTCTGAATCGCCCTCCACAAACATGGATGTGGTCAAACGCTGGGAAGGAAAAGCCGAATTTTAAGTTCTGCAGGCCTTTTTAGAGTTATCAACATTAACATTGTTGGGTCATACGCATTACAGAAACTCCGAGCAACGACGACTGCCAGTCATTCCTACACGCTCCGAGTCCAGGGCGGTCCGACGAGCAGGCTTCGCTGGCTCCTGGCCAGGAGGACATGCGCCTGAGCACGTCGCCGTGCACCGAGGGATCGAGCTTTCTGCTTTACGAACGTCTGGGTGAGAACAGCGCTGTACAGTTGCCCCTCCCCGTTCTGCCTACCTTATGAGCTGCACGTAAATCAAACAAATGCTGAGCGCAAGTTCGACTGCTTTTTGCACAGAGGTTGCGATGGTGTCAGAACGTCGAACTCCTATTGGCTGATTGAAAAACATAGTGAGTAAACCTGAAGGCATCTAGCATTGATGTCGACCCACTATTTTTTCAACCAAAGCCAATCGGTGCTCGGCATCATTCTGGCATCAGTGCAACTTCTGCGCAAAAGGCAGACGACTTGGTCTCTGCATACCACCTGGAAGACCAGGCCTTTTCTCCCAAATGTCATGACTAGTGGATACAAGCAGCGCCGCCTACCCCCGTCAACGTCGCCGCCAGCGTGTCTTGCAACGTGTTACGAGCGCGACGCTAGCACGCGACGCCGCCAATATAGACGCGTCTGCCGCTTTGCGTGGCGTGCTCTCGCCCAGCTTAGGCGTGTTCGTCGCTTGAGGCGGGTTGGAGAACTGCTAACGATGGGCCGTAATGCCTTGTCTCCTCGGTGCTATCGCACCAACAGATGGACCCACTCGAATAAGCACTACTCATCACGAACCTTTCAGAGCGAATTCCCAGGCTGAAGAAAACATCCTCATACTAATCCTTCTTATCGCTATCGTCCACGTGTATCGTTGAAGTTTACAGAGCCTTGAAAAGACTGAATTCTTTCTCGCCTAAGACGAGTTCGGGGGAAATGTTGAGAGCGTGTCGACTTTCAGGCGCACCTGATCAAGTGTTCAGGCTTTGCACAGCCTAACGACTATATTTTAAATGTACACTGACTGCTTTCAACAAGTTAAAGATGAATGTCGGTGGGGGGGTAAGGGTGTGAATCAACATTCAGTTTGAACAAGCAAATAGCTTTATTATTTCTTTTAATCTCATTTGTTTTCCAAGAATAATGGGACAAAATGCAGGATATGTGATAGAGGGGGCAATTATGGCGGACTTGTCTTGGCAGTGCAGCGTTATGGTGGACATGGGGGCCAAAATCATCTGGCCAGAAGCACTTCTCTAAAGCGGAAAAAAAACATTAAGAATCAGATTATTATCAACTGTATGAACGGCTGTTAAAAACTGTAGGGGTAGTCAGGCCCTGAAAAGGCATGTACCATACCGTAAAGGTCTGTCCAAACGGGACACTTCAGGGGTGCCTGAAAGGCGGTTCAAACAGGACACGTCAAGAACGCGTGAAGCGACACCCTCTGTCATATAAAGTAAGGCACACCGCTTCCGTCCGATTTTTTTTTTTTTTTTGGGGGGGGGGGGGGGCGGCTGGGAGGAGCTTCCTTCCGCCAAGGTTAAGAGTGTAGTGGAAGCTCCTGCCACCTCCCTCCCCTTTGGCAGAGCGAACGCAGAAGAGGAGGTCGCCTCCTCTCCAGTGAAGTGAAGAGAGGTGGTAGGAGTTTCCACTTCATACTCATCACGTGGGTGGACATTACACGCTCTGCTGACTGTCAGTCAATCGTCCAAGACCTCCGCTGCTCTTCAGGTCCCGAAAACAAGAAAGGGAAGGATACGAAAGTATGCGTGTGTTGGCGATGTAGTCGGAAAAGGAAGCAAAGCAATCGTCGTTGTGGGCTTTGTCACTGCCCCTAAAATACAAGGTCGCGGCAGAACACATGAACACGAAACAGGCACGCCATTGGCAGGTAGCGTGTGATATCCAGTCTGACGAGCACCGACGTCAAGAAAAGCAAAGGAGGCGAGGAGGAAAGCAAAAGCCGTGATGTTTGGCTGGCGCATGTCCACACAGAAGATGGACAGCCGAACTTCCACTTTCACTTCATATGGCGGAGAAGTATCGCCTCAAGGGGTGCCTAAACAGGACACTTCGGAACGCGTGAAGTGACACTTCTCAACCAAATGAAGTTAAAAGTTGAGGTCCGGCCGTCCGTCTTCTGTTTGGACGTTCACCCGGCAAACATAATCGCTCTCCTCTTTACCTCCTCTGCTTTTCTGTGATGTCGGTGCCAGTTCATCTGTTTCTGCCGCGCCCTCGTATTCTTCCCTTTCCCGTTTTAGGGGTTAGACTTGAATAACAGCGGAGGCCTTCAGCGTTTGACTGACAGCCAGCAGAGCGTGTGAGTGGCTGTCCGGATCCACGTGATAAGCATGCTCTAGGCCTTCGTGAACAATACAAGCGAACTTTAACGAACCCCCCCCCCCCTTTCCCCCCCCTCCCCCCACAAAAAAAAAAAAAAAAAAAAAAAAAAAAAAAAAACGGACGGAAGCGGAAAGCTGCACTTTATATGGCGAAGTGTGATTTCACGCGTTCTTGAAGTGTTTTGTTCCGACAGCCCTTCACGCGTTCTGAAGTGCCCTGTTTCGACAGCCCTTCACGCGCTCTGAAGTATCCTGTTTGGACACCGATTAAGAGTGGATGTTGTAGCAAAGACACCTTCACTGCCACGGCAACCTGCGTCGTCAGTGGGACTCAAAAGTGTCCGTCCCTATCGCGCGTTTCAGAGAGACACCGGAGGTTATCCGAAACTCTTAGTGCGAGCCTTCCGGCGTCTCCATCCTCTGCTGCCGGTTCTGATGTCCACTTCGCCTTCAGCCCTCAGACATCGCAGCTGCCAGGTAAGGACCATCAAGCAGCATGTAACAAAACCATCTGCCGAAGAACTGCAAACATCACAGGGAAGTTATAACCTAAAATTATATGCTGAGTCATGGATCAACTCGGCGCAAAAAACTGTGATCCGGACTCGGCGAAAAGGGACAGGATAAGCGCGTTTGCGAAGTGAAACACGAGCGTAAGCACGTTTCAGCCGTAATGGGTACTGGCTACCAAACCGTGTTGACCATAGGCAAAGTGCAAATTGACCAAACTGGGCGGTAATCAATAAAATAACATCAGATTATGTTTTTTTAGATCAACACGCCGGGGGGGGGGGGGGGGGGCTTTGAATTGTGGGACGAAAACATAATACAGCTGGGTCATTATAAGAATAAAGGTAAAACTTTTAAGATAATTTCCATACTTAATTCAGTGATGGAAGCGGCATTTGACCTTTTGTAGCAGGTTCAGTAGCAGGCAGAATATTGGTTTTGAGCAACCACTAACAGCTGTTAGCACATCATTTGAGAATAAAAAAGTGATTGCATCTGTAAACGAGTTCATTTATAATAGTGATCGAGGGTTAGTATTTGATACTTGAGCATATTACTTATTACCGTTTCTGATAAGAATATATCGGGCGTAGACGAACAGTCTTCTTAAATAGAGATCTAATCAGAACAGGTTTTATTTACAATGGGTATTAAAAAAAAATGGTTGGAAAGTGAATCATAGCGCAACATTCATTGGGATGAATTATTTTTCTCCACCCCATTTTACACTCGGTAGTTCGTTTAACCTGTAAATATAATTTCTGCTAAATTTCAGCAAGAACCAGCATATCCGCTAACGCGTCTGTCAATAAAAATGCGCCCCGTAAGTTTAATTAATGCACCTACCAAACTTAAGACTCTAATATCATAAACTAAAAAAAAACAAAAACACCCAAAACTATTATTAAAGCCTACACTTGCGCTTTAAAGGTGACGCGGCTCTTTAAGGGCGTAGGAACCAGAATTACGTCAAAGTTCGCTACTCTTTCGATCGACAATTGCACGGGGACTACCGTGACTATATCGCGGTAAGCCAGGCGCTCTCCCAGGTAAGCCGCTGCTCCTAACACTCCGGTGCCAAGCGGTGAAGCGCGACGCGCGCGCGCTGGTGAGAGGCGGCGAAGGTTGGCGGGAGCGGCGCAAGTGCCACGGTACACCGCAGTCCCGGAACAAAGCCATGTGGCAGACATGGTAATCGAGTGATCTGATCAGGAGTTCAAACCCCTGGTTCTGTTCAGTGTTGTACGGAACGGCGTTCCAAGGAACGGCGTTCCTGGAACGTGTTCCTTTTAGGAGGAACGAAGGAACGCCGCCGTTCCATTTGGCATCGCTGGAACGGGAACGCGTTACATTTTTACGGGAACGGAAAGAGTTACGGCGTTCCTTTTTTTTCGTCCAGTCCGGTAATTTTTATTTCATTTATAACAGGGAAATTTCGACAGTACAAAACAATATATTTACGAAGTGCAGGATCTGGTTAACTTTTTGACTGCTAATCTTATGGATAATTTCGTGTGGTCCTCGCTTGCTAATAATTTCGGATGCAGGAGAGCTGGTGGACAATGATTCTTTTTTGAGTGCCCGAAACTGCGGCACAAAAAGCAAAAATTTTAGTCGTAGGAAAAGACAAAAGGGGTCATTTCAAACTCGGCTACTTTTTTTTTGGTTTCACAAATCCTCATACACGAACACCCAGAAATCTAAAGCCAACTACATCCATTTCTGAACTTCCCTAGCGAGACCTACAGTTACAACAAGATCACACGTTGCCAGACATGTAACGCACCCTGTATCCCGAACATTGGTCACTTAAAAAAATACGAAAAAAAAAAACACAAAAAAAAACCTTTTTCTTCTCTTGTCCCCCACTTTCAAATTGAACAACAAATCCAACCTTCACAAAGAAGTATTTGTAGTTTTCAAGACTGACCTTCAAAAATCCCTACCCGCTCCTGTACTTGCTCGTCCTGCGGACAGCAACATCGAGAAGCAACTCGTTAAGTTCTAACAAGGGACTCTCTTAAATTGAAACGTGTGAGGTTGTTGTGAAACGCTCGTGCAATGTTTTTACATTTGGTTCGTCTCAATCGTCCACTACAAACATGAATATGGTTAAAAGCTGAGATTCTTAAGTTGAATATATCAACAAATAAAACCCTGCTTCCGCTTGTTTTCTTCTGGTGCCCTTTCATCGCGACATACAAACTCGTATCATATATGTTGCGTATTGATGGGATAGATAAAAAAAAAACTTTGCTTGATTTAACTAAATATGGTAATTAGCAAAATATAAATGTAACGTATATGTAGCGATACGTTCCATTTTTTATGCTGTAACGGGAACGAGTTCCTTTTTCACAGAAGGAACTTGTAACGGGAACGCTTTCCAAAAATCAGAAGGAACGAGGAACGAGCTTTCGTTCCTTTTTTTGAGGAACGTGTACAACACTGGTTCTGTTTTATCATAATAGCCGCCATCGGCAATCCTACTATTTTGCAAAGCTTTCTTTAGACATCGTCTTTAGACAATGTCTGCGATAAACCAGCCAGCGCATCAACCGGCCAGAGCGGTTGATGCCCAGCATCAAAGCGTGACATCATTGCCTTCATCTCTTTGTACGTGTTCTTCCATCCGCTAAACCAATCAAGTGCAGCGAATGTCCCGTGACTTGCGCTATTAGTATGTGTGTTTGTGGTTCTATGTGTTCGTGTCTTCGACTGTGCTCTGACCTAAAACGAAATAAACTATACGGTTAGTAGAGATGCTGTGAAATTCACATTTATACCATTTTTCTTTCCATCTATTTCTCTGAATATTAGGGTTGACCAATATTTTTTTTCTTGGCGCAGGTGTAGCGCAAGCCTTAGCAAAAATTGTAATTTTACGCCAGATGTAGCAGTGTTTCGTTCATGGCACAATGGCTCAGCAGTTCCACCACTGTTAACTTGAACTTAAGCAAGAGCTTCGTGGTACGATACAAGCCGTTGAGTTCAAGCAAGCAGCACTAACAACGCAACGTCACGGCGCTCGTCGGTTTTTAGAGTGCACTTTTCATGTGCACCGGCTAAATCAATCAAGCGCAGGGCATGCACCTTGACCTTGTGAGTTTTAGCCTGCGGTTCCGTTTGTGTCTTCTGTCCTTTGACTCTGCAGTGACTTACGGTGGAACGCAGTATAGAATGTTATGAAATTAGCGGGCAGAAATAACTCTTTCAATCATACCTGTACTGATATGCATGAGGCAGTTCATTGATAAGTAGGGAATCATGAGGTATGCGTGGAATCAGGGTGATTGGTGGCCGAGTGGGCTGAGGCGTCTCAGCTCGGGGCGTGGAACGAAAACTTGCGCTGTAGAACCTCCCGGGTTCTATCCCCACCCCTTGCCCTTTTCAATCTGGATGAGTTTCGCACCGGTACGCGTTCGGGTAATCACTGCTGAGTGGTGCAAGTTAGACTCCAAATTAGCGGTTGTACTTCACTGGCTAATTGCTCATTTACAGCCGAGAGACACTCACCCGTTAAGGCGCATTAGCAGCAAGGCTCTATAAACATACAGCAGAATTTGTACTAGGAGTCTTGATGTTTTCTATTTTTCTATTTTATTTGGTTCGTGATATTTTCTTTGGTTTTTTCTTTGTCTTCAAGAAAAGCTCAGTTGCAACTCAGCACTTGCCCAATCAATTTCTTTCGCCTTGTACGTTTTTTGCGCGCTGTTTCGACGGTTATTCTTAATGTTGTCTAGGGTTGCCAACCGAGTTTTTTTTTATTTTCATTTATAAGTTGATTGGGTAGACTCACTGTCGGGTTCGCGTTAATTTTTTTTTTATGATACCACATATACAAGCTATTTTCTAAACTTTATGACGGTGTCAAAATCTACGACACAAAGGTAGCTGTGCACACTGGTCAACGAGCTTCACGAGGATTTGCTGACATGACTCGAGTTCATCTTTCAGAACCGGCTGTCTGGAAATCGCCTGCAAGCTCCAACACTACCCCCCTGGCTGACATTGCCTTTGTCTGCTATGAGGACCTGAGCAGTCCAGAGGAAGTGACGAGTCCTGGAGTGGTGGCCGTAGCCAAGGGTTCTCCATCCGGACAAGCATCACCGAAAGTCCCCAAGCATAAACTCGTGGTATGACGTTTTCGTGTAGACACCTAAGATCCGCAGCACGGGTTTTCAAACTGGGTTTTTGGGAACCTATATATCTTCCTTATTGTAACTACAAGGCTTGACAGGGCACCCAAAAGCTTCTGTACTGTTAATATGAAGTTGTTTTTTTTAGTTCTGCCAGTGCTTAAACCTAGCTGAGTCATGCTTCTGTTCATCACAATTAACACTTCCGCCTTTCTTCCTAATGTATGTATGTATGTGTGTGTGTATGTATATGTGTGTGTGTGTATATATGTATGTGTGTGTATATGTGTGTGTATGTATATATAGTATCATTAAGTTTGTCAGCCTGTGAATTGTTAAATTATTTATTAGTTCAACACCACTCATTTTCCCAAGCTTCGAATAGAGATTCGATTACGATTTTCTTATCTCAGTGCTGTGAGAAAATGAATGGGACATATATGATGTTATGGTGCTGTTTTATATACTGCAAAAACTTTCAGAATAAAATGCTACAACAATAGTAATAGTAATAACAGTAGGAGTATTTAATGCTTTATTTTTCGTTAGTGCCAACAAGCAGCTATGAAGCATTTTGTGTGGTGCACTGCCAGTTCGTGTTTAGAGCAACACTATTAAAAAAATCCTTGCCATTTAAAATAAATGGCAAGGTGGAAAAGAAACAAGTGGGAAACTGAGACACCGCAGGACGTGCTGAACGTGCTTTTGTTTACAGCCGCGCCTGTCTTGAATAAGCATGTCTTCTGAAAAGACTAGCTCATATACGCGCCGATGACGTGAGCACAACCTATATGTGATCCGGTCCTAATACCAAGTCTCATGTTATTGTAAATATGTAAAAAAAAACTTGATAGATCTTGGGTTATGCTACTTTGAAGAGATTAAATCAAGATGATTTGCCACATGTAATGTCAAGAAGGTATTCCAATTCCCATGCAGTATTTTGACGGAAAAGGGTGTTGTTATTTATATTTTATATTGCTGCCTGCTTACATCTAGAACATGATGTTGAGTGTCATCATAACTGACGTTCTAATTCTCCCGTCGCTTTCATTGTATTAACTTTTGATTTCCCTCCTCGAAATGCAAGTTTCATCTGGTATGCGCGTCAAAACGTAGATATACAATGCATTCCAATCTGAGACTGAAAGTGCTGACTACCGTTGAAGTTCTTGCTCCAATTTATTCTTGAACACTTCCGTTTAGACTCCAACCAAGAACCCCCGATATAAATTCTTCACGTCGAAGAACGCGCGTGCCGATGGAACCCAAGGGGCGTCGACACAAACAACGGTTTTACCGGGACAGCCCTTCACTGACAAACCTGAGCCTGCCCCCGAAGCTTCGCGGAGTGGACGAGTCTCAACTTCCCGGACGAGCGAGCGCAGTAAAACGCCCTTCTGGCTGCAGAGTCGTGCAGCCACCTATGACCAGGAGAAATCGGCAGAAAAGCCTGATGAAGGTGTGGTGCACACTGCTCTTAGTTTCCTCAGGTAATCACTCTCGGAAACCTGGAGTGACTGATTTCCAGCAAAGCACTGAAAAAGCGAACCTGTTTAAAGATTAAAAAAATAAAAAAATCACGAGTTATTTTGTTTAGTGAAGGTGGATGACCAGCGAAGCTGTTTAGCACACGACACAGACCCGCCCCGAGGGGCCGGAGGAAAGTAGACACGCGCGACGGGACCGCCATCCCGGGAAAGCGGAAGGAAAGAAAACTAGACACGCAAGCGCTTGGAACGACGACAAAGAGAGGTCGGTGCGGGCGTAGACAAGAGCGACGCCGGTCGCGCAGCGGTAAATCTTTGAGAAACCTTTATTATCTACCCGAGTTTATACTGATCTTGAAAATGGTGCCTATTGATAACTTATGTACTGGAAATGCATATCCAAGTGATGAGACGTGTAAGTTTTTGCATAGAATGAAGCGATTTTGCATCGAATTCGGGACTGAGTTTTTGTTGACGCACACGAAAAATCCACAGAACCCTAGCCATAAACAGCTTCGCTGTAAAAAAGAACAGCAGCCTGCGCGGCGACAGTGCAGCATGACGTTTCGCCATGCACACATCGCAAGCTGTCATTCGCATTGCTACTTCAGCAGATAGCAGCAATTGACTTTCCCAAGTGCTTTGCGGAAAAGTATACACGCTGCAGATTTCTTAGAGTGGTACGGTGTTTAATCGGTTGTCAGGATTATCTCTAAGTGATTAGTATACTATTTTGCGTTTCTGGAGCCCCTTGGGAGGAGGTTACCAATCTGGCACATGACATTCCTGAAGCTTCTTCGTGTTAGATCTTGCATTAACTTCAGGACACTAATAGAAGATGCATTGCATTACAGATGATTTCATCCTCCGGTCAAGAAACCCGGTCCGTACCGCAGGGTGTTTATGTTTTACTATGTCACAAATAGAGCGGACGCAAGCGTTAAGTATCAACTGCGTCTGCTAGTGACACGAACAACTCTTTCCGGCTCGAAATCTCGTCGGGTACCATATTAATACACTTAAGCCGTATGTCTTTCTACGCGCGGAAAGGCAGTGTTTTCCAAATCGGTCGAGGTTATTTTTTTTTTTTTTTGCGTTATGAGCGATTGCGTTTGCCGGAGTAGTCAATGATAAAAGGAGCATCATCTGGTACTCGGTTTTTATACGTACCAGTCTTTATTCAAGTTTAAGACAAGATGGGGAATGAGAAGTCGACCCGTCGGCGGCCTAAAAGGCCGCGGTAGATGTCGCCCGGGCGGCTCGGAAAGCAAACAAATCTGCGTAAACTAAAATCCAGAGCCGCTCGACACGCTTCAGCGTCTCACCAACACCAAGAACGACGCCAATAACTAAGCGTCTGCGTGTAAACTAATGGCGGAAGTGGCGGACACCGAAAAGAAAAAAAGGCGTTTCGTGGAACCGTCTTATTGCCACAGCTAATAAGCACGTCACGTTTGTCCACGAAACGTGCATGGTAAAACCAACACTCAATGGGTTTTTCGGTGAAAAGGTTTTTCGACGAAACAACCACTCTTATCGGGCTCACGCAGGTTCACACATCTGTCGGCATAACCGCTTGGTACCGCTTACAGCGAGAGGATGCGCTTCCTAAGCACGCTGGCGCATTAAATCTGGTAGCAATCGGATTTAAAAATGGTCAAATGTACGCAAATTAAAAGTGTTCCAGTGTTACCTAATAGATGGCACCAGTGTCTCCTCTCGTCACTCTCGTCATAAGCGGTCACAAGTGCTTACAGCTCAGCAGATCACACTCAAATGAGAGCGCCTAAATGAGCCCTTAGAAACCGTTGTGTGCGAGACGTTGCCATCCTGTCTTGCAGCAACGGCCGACGAGCCCCCACCACCACCTACGAGAAGAAGTGAGCGACCTCGCAAACTCTCGGTACCCTCTTACAAAGAGCCCAATGTTAACAGGTGAGCCCGTTCATTCAATCTTTGTTCGGGTGGAAATGAGGGATTGCGCAATATATGATTGCCGCAATATATAATTGCCAAAAACCAGCTGGAGTAAAAAAACAAATAATGCGTTCCAAATGTTAAATATTGTACCGACCCGCGCAAGCATCTATGCATGTTTTCCTACATTTCGAGTTAATTTGAGAAACAAAATCGCGTCGAAATTATTTAGGTTCCATACCTGGAACGTTTTCGTCTTTGATCTGTTTCATTGTTGAGGTCTCTCGCAGACCAGTTTTGGGCTGTCGAAAGGGTCTCGGGCTAGGAAACTGTAGCGTTAACATGCTAAGATTTGTGAAATACAGTGATCTCTTTTTGCGCTATTCGGATCGCTACTATTTTATGATAAAACATAGTGCGGTCAGTGTTTGCTAACACTTAGCTTCTTTAGGGCCCTGGAAAAGCTAGGTTTCTTAGCGACACGTCAGCTCGCACTTCAAAGGGTTCCCTTTTAAATTCTTTGTATACCAGCTTAGTTTTTTCTTATTGTCCGTACTGCAAAAATTGAAAAATTTGCGTTAGCATATTAACTACCGATTGCTTTAACGTGACTCACCACCGCAAAACACGTTTCAAAATTATAAAACGATTATAAAACGTATACTTTTTAATTACTTTTATTGAAAAAAAAGGAATTCTTTTACCGTTATGATGAACCAACGTTGAAGCCCGCTGAATAATTCAATGCACGATATTCACTTGAATAAGCATGTAAATAGAGAACCGCACCAACCACAGAATACCTTGTTTCTGGGCTTTTAAGCATGCCCGATGCCGCGAACACGGCCCTCTCCTCCAGAAAATTGTTCAGGTGGTGTTTTTTTTTTTGGCATGAATAGTTATATTAATAGGCACTGCTTACATCTCAGCAAGTGGAGAAAGCCATTGCAACACATATTGTCACACAAATAAGTAAAAGCGAATACTTCTTCGACTTTTCAGGAAAATGCGACGCCAGTGATTGGCAGGACAGCACCTTCCAGAGTCCAGACGATCAGCTTGTGTGACAACACACAATCTGTTGATCAATTTTAGTTTAAAATATTTTATAGTTACTCCAACAGAGCGACTCCATTATAGTCTGTTGCAGGTTAAAAAAAGCAGCACCTGCTCCTCCCCCGAAGCTCTCCACTCTTTCCACTTCAGCAGCGCACACGCTGGAGAGGAGTCCATTCTCGCCTCCTGTCTGCAGCGTTCGCTTTGTTAAAATGAAGTGGAGGGCATTGCGGGTGGAGCTTGTTCAGCTTTCTTAACCTGCGACAGGCTATAGTGCAGTAGCTCTATTGGAGTTAGTTTTAACTGTTTTATCTGACTGCATTCAATAAAATCGTACAGGGAAAACCTCCACAGGGGCTCTAACCTCTAACAGAGTGCTTCGTAAAAGAGTGCACATACTCTTGCCTCATGCTCAAGGCAGCCTGGGAATTTCGAGGGCTCTGCCAATAGACCGCTTGTTAAAACCAAGCGATCCTAGCGGCATAGTGCCGTGCAAAGCACCTTGGGAACCCAAGGGTCCCGGTTTCGGTTTAGATTTGCCAACCTTCATTCACGACATCCCCTCACAACCAACTACAGTGCATGCATTTTCGAACGCGACTTTCTTCAAATTTATAATACTGTAGGTGTTGCCTATCAATAAGAATAGAATGCTGGGACACGTTGCTCCGCATGTTGTGATGAAGCTGCTTTAGAATCGCCGGTGTTAAAAAATCTGGCCACAGGAAACCCAGCACAGACTTTAGCTTACAGACCGATGAAGTTCAGCAGGACTACAGCCCATCGCCTAATGTGGCATCGTTTTGTACGACAAAAGCATTCCATGGCTATCTGCGAAGGAAAGTCACCAAATTATGGAAAGTTACCTTCAACTTCTGCTTTATCATCTGTGCCGCATACTTGGCTGCCCCACTGAAAGCGGAAGAGGGGGGGGGGGGGGGGGGGGAGGGTACGGGAGGAACAAGCATCCGTAGGATGCCATTTTTCCGCAGAATGTCTGCAATTGCTAACTTACAAAAGTTGACCCCTTCTCTTATAACCATGTCAAAAGCAACCGTTGTCGAAGGAGTGGTCATTTGAAATACCTCGATTCTCCGAGGCTAAGCGCTTTATCGTTAGTCTTGTCTGTCGAAACACCCAAGCAGTAAGAAATTGAAGTCGCTTTCGGTTAGTCGCTATGGGTTAGGGTGCGTCACAGAAACCACCAAAGTTCCCATCGTTGTTATATTTTATAATTTTACATCACGAAATACCAGCCGTTCACTGCTTGTGATGAAGTGGGGCTCATGTGCACTTTGATATGAAAGAGCTCGGTGTAAAGGTAGCGATGTGAACATGCAAAAACAATAAACTAATCCCTGATCAATGAGGTCTCATACTGGTTACGGTTGCTACTCAGAACTCAATGCAGTGGCTGTGTCAATTACCCGCAGGCTCACGATATAGATAAAACTTTATAGCACTGAGCTGAACTGAGCCGATGGCTTAGTTCCACAGCGAATAGTAAGGGTGAGGAAAAACGACGCTGCTTAGACACTGACTTTGGACAGGGTCTAGTAGATGTGTTATTGAGACCGGCTTTTCGCTCCATGTCCCAGATAAACAATTGAAAACATAGACGTTTAAACTTCAACTGTAATGCGAAATAAGAGCGCAGTTCGGGAGGAATTTCGGCGTCAATTTTCGCGTAAATTTTTGTGCTAAATTTAATGGGGAAATTGAGTTTGTGTATAGATCACGTAACATAAAATCATGACATCCTTTTCTCTGCTAAATTTAGCGTAAAAAAATGAAAGCCGCTTACAACTCCCTGTAACGCCGAATTAGAGCGCAGCTCTTGAGGAGGAGGAGGGAAGGGCACTGGGGGGGGGGGGGGTTAAACTAACCAGGGGGGGGGTCACGTTACCTTGGGGGTCACGTGACCCCCAATGCCGATGATGTCATCACTGACGTCACTGATGACGTCATCAGTGACGATGACGATGCGGGTACCGATGACGTCATTAGTGACGTCACTGATGACTTCACCAGTGATGATGACGATGACGATGCGAATGTCGGTGACGTCATCAGTGACGTCGCTGATGACGTCATCAGTGATGATGACGATGACGATGCGGATGCCGGTGACGACATCAGTGACGTCACTGATGACGTCATCAGTGATGATGACGATGACAATGCGGATGTCGGTGACGTCATCAGTGATGATGACGATGACGATGTGGATGCCGGTGACGTCATCAGTGATGATGACGATGACGATGTGGATGCCGGTGACGTCATCAGTGATGATGACGATGACGATGTGGATGCCGGTGACGTCATCAGTGATGATGACGATGACGATGTGGATGCCGGTGACGTCATCAGTGATGATGACGATGACGATGTGGATGCCGGTGACGTCATCAGTGATGATGACGATGACGATGTGGATGCCGGTGACGTCATCAGTGATGATGACGATGCGGATGCCGGTGACGTCATCAGTGATGACGATGACGATGTGGATGCCGGTGACGTCATCAGTGATGATGACGATGACGATGTGGATGCCGGTGACGTCATCAGTGATGATGACGATGACGATGTGGATGCCGGTGACGTCATCAGTGACGATGACGTCATCGGGGGGTCACGCGACATCGGCGGGGGTCACGTGACCTCGAGGAGGGGGCCACGTGACTTCGGGGGGTCACGTGACCACCCACGAGGTCACGTGACCTCGGTGGGGGGCTCGCGCGGTGCATTATGGGACATTTCCCATGATGCACCGCGCGGTTACGCCGACGCCGACGGCGACGGCGACGGCGACGCCGACGCCGACGCCGACGCCGACGGCGACGCCGCTCAAGCCGGAAACGGGCCCCTAAGAGCTGCGCTCTAAAACTGAAATGGTGGCAGGGTCACGTGACGTCAATTTTCCCACTAAATCTAGAAGGGAAACTAAATTTGCGTAAAGGTCACGTGGCACGGTCATGTGACGTCATTTTTACCGCCAAATTTACCAAGGAATCTAAACTGGTGAAGCCATGGGAAGTCAATTTTATCGCTAACTCTAGCGGGGAAATTGAATTCGTTTATAGGTCACGGGGCACGAAGTCATATGACGTGATTTTCTCTCTAAATTTACCAAGGAACCTAATTTAGTGTTGAGACCACGTGACGGGTAGATTTTACCGCTAAATCACCGGGGGGGGGGGGGAGGGGGGACTAGATTTGTGTGTAGGTGACGTAACACGAAGTCATGTGATGTTATTTTTCCCACTAAATTTAGCCAGAAACTGAATTGGTGGCGAGGTAAGGTGACGTCAATGTTCCCACTAAATCTTACGGGGAAACCGAATTTGTGTTTAGATTTTCACCCTCCGTTGCATGGGCGCTGCCATCTTGGAATCGCGTAACGCGGCCGCCATAAGGTGGCTTTAACTTGTCGCTTCCTCTCCCCTCCGCGCCTTGGCGACGGCGTTGTATTCGTGTTTTTTTTTTTTTTTTTGTCGTGTTTTTGCGATTTTTCACTTTACTTTGTGAGGTGCATGGTACTTATTTTTACTACCTAACTGCATGCCATTATTGATTTTGGCACAATAAGAAGCGCAAGGTACATTTGTGATAACGCAGTTATGATCTTAAAGAAGGCAAATTCAACGGAAGCAGTCACTGTGTTCTTTTAAAGCATCGTGCTCTGCCATCATAACGAATCCAGAACAGCTGTGTCATTATATGCGGGAATAATTTTCGCGGTATAAACTTTCTTTTGATATCTGTTTATTTATGAATTTAGGGAGCTATATATTGTGATCGGTCTCATGTCTGCACTCATTCAATTTTCCTAAGATGTCCAATTAAATTAAGTCATTTAGACATAAACGGTGGCCCCACCGGGTGAAAAACGTGTCAAAGGCATCTTGTGAGCGCCTGACAAAAGCGCCTGAGGCACGCAATATGTGACACCGAAAAAAAGCCGTCTGGGTGGAAATCACTCGAGTGAAGCGTTGTCGATGCCCCGGATTCACTTTCGAAACTGCTCAAAGTAAAAAGCGTATCGGTTCAAACAAAAAAGTATCTGTCAACCAAAATCCATGAAGCGGTGCCAGGCATTTGCTTGCTAGAGGCCAAATTGGTTGCGCCTTTAATTTTATTTCGCAAATTATACAGGCGTCAGACATCAAATGACGGGTTTTTCCCTAATCTCGTATTCTCAAGACGTTGTAAGGAAATGTCCGTAGAAAAATAGTTTCCTAAGACCAACCTTGAGAAATGCTGCTATTGAATACTTTAGCAGGGCGCTGATAGTTGAAAAAGAATTGCTGCTCGGCCTAGGGTGAACCATCGAAACATCTGTCGAGTACTTAATTTCTTTAAAGAAACCGATGGAGACATTATCGCTTCCTTTTTGTATTCCATGAGGTTGTGCCTAGCACCACTTCATAGAATGCTGATGAACAGATGAGCTTGCGAGTTCATCGGTTCTATGCGATCCAGCACATTGTTAGTCAAGTCGTCTACCTGGTTTTTCACTGTGCCTCCATGCATTAGCCTTTTCATTCGTTTATTTTTATGTAAACTAGTTTTAGCGAGTACCTCCTGTACGGCAGATCACATCCGTAATCCTCCCCCGGCATTATTTCAGTCGTTTCGCCGCCGAACCTGACCGAACGAAGATCATGATCAGATGAAGGTGTTCGGAAAACGTCCACAATTTAGGCTCGTAATTACGTCACACTTTTCAAGCTGTCCCATTACCACTGTATCGTTTCTTCTTTCACCAGAAGGGATATATTTATATCGCATAACTAAGCGAAAACGACATAACGCATCAGCACAGCCGCGAGCCCGTCGAGACCGAAACCAACCAGAGGCCACCTTACGGTGCTAGAGTTCCTCGATATGCTCCCCCGAAGGGGGGCAGAGTTGCGCATTTGCCTTCCCCGCGCCGCCACGCCGCTATTCGCCAAGATCAATCACGTGAGGAGAAAAGCATCCAGCGCCGCGCAAGAAAGCCACCTTTACGGTCGCTCCGCCGACGTTGCACGCGCCCCGGCGTATGTTCCGCTGTTTTCGCCTCCTTCTCCTCTTTCTACTACAGGGGGATTTCAGATAAGATCGACCAAAGGGTGGCTGGTCGAC